TCACTTGATCAGTTGGATTGAAGTCACCTAAGATCTTGTGGCATGTCTCAACAAGACAGTGTCTGCATTTCGGACAAGTCAAATGTTGTTGAAGCCACTTGTCAATGCAACGAACATGGAACCCGTGGTTGCACTTAGGTAACAGCCTGAGCTTTTCACCAGAAACAAAATCTGACAAACAAATGACGCACTCTTCGCCAAGCCCGGACAAGTTCATCTCAGTTGAGTAACTCACAACCGGGAACATCTTAAGAGCTTTCTTACTGATTCCTTTGTTTGATGAACCGCGTGGTGTCGAAAGACTAGAGATAGGCTCAGAGATCATGAAACTTGAAGTACGTCTGAATGCGCAACGAATGATGTAATGTAAACCGATGCAACAGATGATTCCACAGATGAGGACTGAGAGAAGCATCAAGACATTTCCACTGAGGTTGTTCTCATGGGTTATGAGAGGAGATGGTGAAACCGCAAAGGCTTGTTGAGTGTTGTGGTCGAATGGATTGTGTAAAAGCAGCTTTCTAGAGACAAAACCGCCAAGGACTTGTTCTTGAAAGGTTTGAGCTGAAGAAGGTAACTCATTTGCAGCCATTTTTTTTTTGGAAAAAGCTTTGTTTCAAAGTCTCTCTTATTCTCTCTGTTTTGTTTGGTTATTAGCTTCTTAAAGTTTTGGAGAATTCAAAGTGGTCTTATATATAGCTTTGATGATGATTATTACTTGGTGGAGACTGAGAATTTTTTAATAAGTGGAGATGAATAATTGTAGTTCAAGAAAGTGTTTCATTTATTTTTCAAATGAGATTTGAGTGGATTTGGGACCCAGAGAAAGCTTATCCAAATTTCATGAATTCTTTGAGTGCTTTTTGTGCATTTTTGCCCATATACCTCCTCCAACCACAGGATGCTTGTGTAGGGACTAAGGACAATCACTTTTCCAACATTGAAATTTAAAATTGTTTCTTTTTGTCTCACTTTAAATTATAAAACTTTGCTTTTCTTGCCTTGTGTCGATTCTTGATAAGCTGGAATTTTC